AGGGGACCGAGGGGGGTATTTCACCCCCCGAAAGGGTGCGGGAGGTATGGAGGATGGATTAAATTTCGATGCGGACTTAGATTTTGGAGAGGACGACGAGTAGGATGATGGAGTGTGAAAGTTGAAAAAGGAAGTAGAGGATAAGCTGTGCGGCCCTCTGCTGAAAGGACTGCACTTAAACGTGTCGAATCACGACACAAATCACAATCAAATGAAGCGCAAAGCACGGGGTAAATGTCATGGTCTTAAATTTCGGACCGACATTTTCATGACTGTGGTTGAGAGTGATCCTCATTGCGCGCAATTTACTTTTTGAGGTGAGAGCAACGTGAAATGCAAGGGAAGAGGCTGACAAGAAAGCTCTCCATCTCGCTTGCACCATGACCAGCAAAGCCTCTCCATGCATGATAGCCAGTGGCATGTGCTCACACACTCGTACAATCGACACTAGCGATTCTTTGCAATTCATTTTTCCGGGCAGACGGGCCAGCTAGCAGCAGAGAGGGAGGAGGTTGGCAGTGCGTATCAAGTCTGAGCTTGAAGTGGGCAATTGTTCCATCCAAGACTAGAGATGGTGACTTTCGATGCGGTGCGATATCATACATGCATTACCACCACTTCGACAGGAACAAATATACACCTCCGCTGCTTGTTTGGATCCCCTTGCGAGTACAAATCTGTCAGTGAGTTATTCGCACGCATCCTGAGTAGCCCCGCCCGGATTACCAGATGGCACCCTGTCGGAATGCCCTCACCGTAGCCCTGCTCACGAGCGGCGCATTTACACAAGCTTTTTGGGTCGCGCCTGCCACACCATGGCTCCATGGCTCCCGTCACTTCTCAAAAGACGTAACCGCGCCGCTGATGGCAACATCGGAGACTACCAACTCAAACGTCCCCCCTCCCTTGACACTGGAAGAAATATCGAACAAAATAAAATTTGAAATCACCGATCTGGATGCAGGCGCCTACGGCTTAGAGAGCAAGGATGTAGCATACGCAGGTGAGCTACAACCATTGAACTTATAAGTGTAGACCTGACGGGATGAGCATTTTCTAGCTGCCCCTAATCTCCTTCCCCCTGTAAGGCAGTCCTACGTCCTCCTGGCCGCATCTTTCCCCCTCTACCCCCTTTTTCTCTCACGCGACGCACATGCTTCCCCCAAAAACAGTGGAAATTGCCAAGGTTGACATTCCCCTGGGAGGGGGCGGCATTGGGCTGGGGCTGGAGGAATTACGACGGGGGCAGGACGGGCGCGGGTGCGTGCTCGTCTCCTCCCTACCCCCGGAAGGCAACGCCGCCCAAGCGGCCGGAGACGACGGGAAGATCCGAGTGGGGGACATGATTTGCTACCTGGGCCAAGAGCCTCGGGGCATGGTGCGGACGGAGGGCTTGGACTTCGAGCAAACCATGGGGGCGCTCCGCCGCTTCCTGGAGACGGGCGCCCCCGCCATCACCCTGGTGCTGAAACGCCTGGTCTTTCGGGCCTCCCTGGACGTTTCGCTCTCCTACACACCCGGCCCCGACGAGGAGAGCCAGGGCCGCAAGGCTTGGACCCAAACGCTGCCCATGTTGGCAGGCTCCCAGCTTCGGAAAGAGCTCCTTCGCGCTGGCTTGCCCGTGTACAGCCAGGACACGCTGCGGTTCGACCAGCCTTACGTGACAGGGAATTGCGGCGGGGAAGGGATCTGTGGGACCTGCCTGGTCCAGGTTTTGGAGGGAAAGGAGCTCTTGAACGAGAAGGACGAGGTGGAGGCGATGGTGACCCGGAAATGGGGAGCAGCCAACTGGCGCTTGTCCTGCCGAGTCATCGTGGGCGCCACCAACACGCCGGGCACCGTCCGTTTTAAATTGATGCCCCAGGCGCCCTTCACCAAGAAGAAGCCGTGAGCGCGGCCGTCGGGAAGGGAGGGAGGGGGGGAAGGGGCCTGTACAGCGGTT